AGAGAGAGAGAGAGAGAGAGAGAGAGAGAGAGAGAGAGAGAGAGAGAGACTAGGCTAGCCATGGTGGCCCATGGAATCTCAGCACTTGAGATGTGGAAGCAAGGGATGAAGAGTTTGAGGCCAGCCTTAGCTGTAAAGCAAGTTTGAAGTCAGTTTGGGCTACATGGTACTCTGTCTCAATAAATAACGAGTCCTCAACTCTATAAACTGACAATCATGTGACGGTGAGGAGGAGGGAAAGCATCGGGAGTATTGTATGACGGTCTTGAGCCCACAGAGCTCCAGAGAATCCCAGGAAAGTTAAGCACACAGGGCTGCCTTTCCAATGGGAAAGATGGTAAACCTGTTCTATGCAGAAAGCTGAGAACTGGAGGCTGTGATCTGTGTTATCTCTTGGTCCAGGCCGTATTAAACTCCCCCGACGAGGACCAGAGGTGGCTAGTAGCCCAGATGACCTCTGCACTATCTGTGTGACCCCGACCAGGACCAGAGGTGGCTAGTAGCCCAGATGACCTCTGCACTATCTGTGTGACCCCGACCAGGACCAGAGGTGGCTAGTAGCCCAGATGACCTCTGCACTATCTGTGTGACCAAGACCAGGCCATCCTTACTTAGGCCCTTAAGCTAGTACAGGTAGCCTGTGTCTGGAACCCATCTTCTTGGAAGGCATGACATGCACCCTGAGTTGAGTTTCAATGTAATTATGCTTCCTTGTGTGACAGGGGTTGTGTTATACCAGGAAACCTTTTTCCAGATGATAATGGGCTTAAATACATCAGGAATAAACCATCAGTTATTAGACTCCCCAAAGTCTGATACAGGTTGAGGAAGTCAACCTGCACCGGGATTTTATTGTTATCTCTTCTCCCTGTTCACTTCTCTGTGTGGCACCTACCCCTTCTGAATAACAATTACTGTGGAATCCAGTTGTGGATGGGTGGAGAGAAGGGCTCTTTGGGGCACCTACAAGCTTCCACTACTTCAAGGATCTGAGAGGGATCCAGGTGAATTGCATTTCACAAATGTAATTTGTGTACATACAACACTTAATGTTTTGAGATCAAGTCTTGCTATGCAGCTTATATTGGTCTGGAACTTACTATGTACCCAAGGCTGGCCTTTATTTAGCTCCTGATACCCCTGCCTCAGTACTCCTCAGATTGTAATTACAAGCTTGCACCACCTATGCCTATATGATTTTTCTATTATCTTATAATATAAAGAACCCCTTGTATCTTTTTGTTTGCTTTTGGACACTGTAGCCCTGCAATCATCAAGCTCACTCAATCCTCTGGCCTCAGATCTGGTCAAGAAGCCTGTAGCTCTATAGGCTGGAGAGATGATGAAGCCAGTTTAGCCCTTGAGGGCTTCGGAGCCTGACCACATGAGTTTGATCCCCAGGTCTCTGTGGTGGAAGGGCCTCCATCTGAGAGTCATGGCATGGCCACCCACTCCAACACAGAGACACACACACAGACACACACACCATACACACACCCCACACACCCCACACACAGTCACACATACCACACACACATGCACATACACACACATACACCACACACACTCCCTAGATACATATCACACACACACTATCACACACACACTTACACAGTACACCCAGACACCACACACACAGGCACACATGCACACACACATTAAGTAAGTATAATTTTAGATAAGGAAGAGGTCCACGGCTCTAAATTTAATTTTTCAGTCCTTGCCCGGGTGGTCCCACTCTCAAGAACACTGCGTCTGTGTTTGTTAATACATTAGTCTGCTCTTAGGCAGATACTGCACAGCCTGCAGCATGTCTGCCTGATACACGCTGTTTAACATTAAGGCACAATGGCTGAATAGTAAAGGACGGTGTGACATTTCTTGCCAGCGTTTCGCAGCCTGAGATGTGCATGTGTTTTCGGGTATTTCTCCTAAGGCCATTGTATTTGTGACAGGCAGTCTGGATCATTATTAAGTGCTGCCCACGAATCCAGAATCCACGAAACCATTTCCCTCAGGAGATTGTTGGAGCCGGGTGACATTTCCTGACATTGTTCTGCAGGCTGTTGTGTGACATGAACAATTTGAGGCACTTACCTGCATCCATGCGGCAGATGTCTGGCAGAAATCCCCAAAGAAATTACAGCAACCCTCCTCACAGCCCCGCTTAAGAAGCGGGGTTTCCCCTTCCTTGTTCCTGTGATTGATATTCTACTGTATAAATCTGAGTTACGAAATAAATAAAAGCTAATGAAATCACAGTGTGTCCTGAGCATGCTGGGAGGTGGGGGAGCCGAATAAGACTTCCTTTGGGAAAATGATTTCCTTGCTTAAAAAAAAAGTGGGCCAGTAAAATGGTTAAGCAGATGAAGATGCTTTAGCCAAGTCTGGTGACTTGAGCTTGATCCGAGGCACCCATAAGGTAAAAGAAGCAAGCAGACTCATAAGGTGTCCTCTGACCTCTACGTATGTAACATATGTATATATGTATGTGTGCACC